TGATTTGGAGGGTGAAGGGTGGGGAGGTTCCAAGATGTCTGCAGAGAGGACTTCTGCATTTGAGGGAGCCAGTGTGCTTTTCGTATCAGTATGCTCTCCATTCTGAGCTGAGAGACTCTGCCATTCACTGACGAATGTGAGTGAGTGATTCAGAGTGCTGCTTAAACTGTGTGTGTGTGTGTGTGTGTGTGTGTGTGTGTGTGTGTGTGTGTGTACTTGAGAGTCTAAGTGTAGGTGTAAGTGCGTGCATGGACGTGTGCGTGTACTTCTGGCTCAGGCCCCAGGGTCTTGTGTCCTGGCTCTGCCATCTGATGTTGAATAGATCATTGCATTTCTCTGGGATTTGGTTTCCTTATTCATGAGATAAAGATGGAAGGTAAGACTCTGCATCTGAAGTCCTTTTCATAACAGCACTAGTCTGGAACACTTATTAAGTATCTACTGTGTTTCCAAATGGTGCCAAATACCTTACACTTACAATTAAAAAGTTTAAGCTTTCATAATGTGGCAAAGTGTACATCCCATAGTATCTACCCTGTAGTTATTTTAAAGCATACAGTTCAGTGGTATGAAGTACCAGAGTGGTGTGCCACTGGATCTACCATGGAGCATATTTTGTGCCACACATGGTACTTGTGTGGCTCATCTTTTGTGGCCTGCCAAGCTGCTGAGAGGCTGGCATGGGACACTGTGGGACACTATGTGCTAGGTCCAGTGGTGTGGGCAGCACCAGGATTTTAAGTTTCAGGACTTCAGTGTACTATGTCCTGAGTCTGTGTAAGAGGCTCTTTATACCCCTGTGGTTAAATGCTACTATATTTAGGCTGTTTTTAGAATTGAGGTTCTTCTAGCATTTATGTGTTTATCTTTCTACTCAAACTTGTCAATACAATGATAGATTTTTATAGTCTAGGAAATATGGACTCATTGCTCATCTACAGGGTTGGTTCCAGGACCCCTCCCCCACACTGACATCCAAGGACACTCAGGTGATTTATATAAAAGGTCATCATATTTGCATAGAACCTATACATCATCTCATATACTTTAAGCTACCCCTAGATTATTTACAATGTCCACTCCAGTGCAAATGTCCTATAAACAGTTTTAATACTATATGGTTCAGAGAACTGAGAAGAAAAAGAAGTCTATAAACTTGAGACAGACATGATCTATTAAAGCATTTCCCATCCATGGTTGCATCTTTGAATGTGGATCCCTCAAATATGGAGTTCCAACTGTAGATGCATGTGTTGTGTGGTCTAAGCAGGTGGAATGTATATAAAATGTGACCAGACTTGTGCTGGTCATGTGCTCTATTGTTCCCACTCCTTTCTCTGGGAGAATGGACTACTGTATTCAGGGCAATTAGCTGGTATCCTGCCTTAATGACACTCTCAGTATTCTACAGTTCTCATGAACCTGTCTATGGTGATCCAAGGTCTATGAGCATCCTGAAAGCGGAGCCATTGTGAGGCCACACCCCTGCTGTAATATCTTAGCCTTGGCATTTGTTTCTGTCCTAGAAAAAGTGCCATATATTCTCAGGCCTAAGATGAGATCTAGCCTGGGTGGTGCCCAGAAAGGCAGCCTGTTCCCAGCAAAGACATAGTGTGGTGGCAGCTGCTGTATTTAATAAGAAATGGAAATAAAGCGCTGTGATAATTAAGTCCCACCCCTGTGAAGTCAGCTGTTACCAGCAGTGGGGAAGGGTTTTCCAAACTACCTGAGGCGAGATGGCGGGCTTTACGCTAGGCAGATGCTGGGAACTAAGAACCCTGGGGTAGACTCTGCCTGGGCTGTTACTGCCCAGCTTTAGGAAGGTACCAGGGTCACAGGAATATGAGGAAGACAGAGAGCCTGTGTCAGTCACCATACCTCTATGGTCTCTACCCGATGTCATCGCAGCTTACAGGTAGGCTCCTGCCTCCAAACCAAGTATCTCGCCCTTGGTACTCAATACTTTGTACATAGTTAGGACAGGGCTGGACCAAAAAAAACGTTCAGTCACATTTTAAAGGTATCACCAGGACATGAAGATATGGCATATTCAAGGTCCCAAACTGTTACCTGGTAAGAATTCTTCAGGGTCTCTAGTGTGGAATAATTGTGATTATATGACTTGAGCTAGGAGTACTGGAAATGGCATATATGGTAGAGTTGATGGGCCCAGAGAAACTAGCTCTAGTAGACTTTCTCCTTGGTAGCTGTGTAACTGAGCTGTAGTTTCCCAATCCTTTTCAACTCCTTACTGTTGTGGATGGAAGCTTGGCTTGACTCCTTGTTACGCATTCACTCACAGCAAGAAGTTTGAGTGTCAACATGCTTTTGGGGTTACTTGCTTAAGGGAAAGGTATTATCCTATGGAAAGGAGAGTAGTGGCTGCTCTAGGTTAGACCAATCCTAATTGAGACCAGGACTGACTAGTGTCTGGGCTTCCCAAGTGTCACCCATAGCTTTGTATTTTGGAGTAGGATGTTGAGATAGACTGTTAGCTGAGCCTCATGGGATACATAGCCAGTTTTCTCTTACCTGCTCACTCTTCCTCTTGGTACTATGGGCTGCCCTGACAATGTCTCTCTTGCTTCTTATCACCATCCTAAGGTGATACTGTCCTGTTTCTGTCCTAGGCACTTGAGGATCCTGCCCCACCCCCAGCACTCTACCTTTTATTTCTAATAATTTTCACTCCATTTCTCTTTATTCTTTAAGAGAGCCCCTGATTTTCTTCCTCACATACTCTGAGTTTGGATCCTAAGACTGGGATCCCCCCCTAATCCCTGGAGTATATAGGAGAAAAGATACAGGGCTAGGGCTGGAGAAATGACTCAGAAGTTAAGAGCACTGGCTGCTCTTCCAGAGGACCCGGGTTTGATTCCCAGCACCCATGTGGTGACTCACGGCCTGT